GGGCCAACTGGGAACCGGGCGTGGGCTTCACCCGCCGGACGATGAGCCGCACCGGCGCGGCGCCGGGTTCACTCTGGAAGGGGGTATAGGTGGTCTCGGCCACATCGGCGGCGCCGTCCATCCAGTAGGGAATCGGCGTCCAGTCCTGCTCGGGGATCGCCTCAATCAACTCCCGCAGGCCTTTGTGCTGGCGGATGGTGATGGAGAAGCGGACACCCATCTCGCGGCAGACGGCGACGAGAGCGTGGGCGTAGAAGCCGCTGTCGGCGCGCACCGTGAGTTGGCCGCTGGCCCCACCGTAGCGCACCCGCCCCACCGTTTCACGCAGGAAGTGGGCAGCGCCGCGAGCGGTGTTGGCACGGCCCTCGCGCAGCCGGGACATCAGCACGTCGCCGGTTCCGGCGGCGATGGCCAGCAGTGGGTGATAGCCCCGCGCGCCGGTGTAGTTGTGGTGTCGCGCCCCTTCTTTGTCCAGTCCATAGGTCTCGCAGATGGTGGAGTCCAGGTCGATGGTCAGGGGCGAGTCGCCGGGTCCGGCCCCAGCGGCCCATGCGCGTGCCAGCAACTGGCGGCTCACCCGGTCGAGTTGACGGACATGCCCCCACCGGAAGCTGCGCAGGAAGGTGCCCAGGGTGGATGGCGCCTTGACCACGCAGCCGAGAACACCGACCGTCCCACCAGCACGCAGCGCATCGGCGTCGTCGATGAAGTCGCCGCCCGCCAGCGCGGAAGCGACCAGCGTCAGCAGTTTGTCCCCCGTGTTCGCCCGCCCCGGGGCGCAGCCGAGGTCGAGGTGATGGTCGACGAGTTCCCGCAGGCCCAGGTGCTGTGCAAGGGTGGCCGGCAGGAGCAGGCCGGCATTGGCCACCAGGCGGTGGTCGTCAAAGACGACGCGGATACGGTCGGGATTGTTCTGTGGCAGCATCTACTGGGTGCTCCTTGTTTCCGGGCGGTTTTCTGTTCAAAACCATTCTCCCAGATTCAGAGGAGCACCCTCTGGCTTCTTCAAGGACTGTCCCCAAAGTCGTCTTTCGGTGGATCGGGGTTAGAGGGACTGCTCGAAGAACTCAACCTGGAGCTGGTGGCGTAGATCGGACGTGCGGGGCTTTGTCCACCACCGCCAATATGACTGTTGAACGTCCAACGATCTCGTCTCATAATGAGGAGAGTGGTAAGGGGGAGGTAGTCGATGACCACCGCAGATGAAATCAAACAAGCAGTGCTGAGTCTTCCTGAAGCCGAGTACGCCAAGATCATGGACTGGCTTCACGAGTTGGCAGAGGAGGCATGGGACAGGGAGTTCGAGGAGGACGTGCTGGCCGGCAAGCTGGACTTCCTGAAGGCAGAGGTTGAACAGGCCAAGCGGGAAGGCACGCTGAGGGAGTTGTAGTGCATCGCACTACGCCCCAATTCTGGTCGCATTTTGAGCGGCTGCCTGAAACAGTTCAGAGGACTGCGCACCGAAACTTCCAGTTGCTCAAGGATAGTCCGAGACACCCGTCGCTCAGGTTCAAGAAGGTCAACGACTATTGGGCGGTTCGAGTGGGACGTTCCTACAGAGCTATTGCCATCGAAGAAGGACAAGATCTATTCTGGGTCTGGATCGGTAGCCACGACGAGTATATGCGGGTCATTGCCCGGTAGGAGGTCAAGCGGATGAACAATCAAAACAGGCTGCTACTGTCAGTCCGCCCTCGGACGGAAGTCCAGCTTCACCTTCGTCAACACGGAGGGGGAATCGGAGCGGGAGAGCCTGGTGGTGGAGCGCCCCGACTTCTGGGCCACGACCAGCAACAAGCAGCTCAACTTCCTGCAGCACGTGCGAACCCTGCTGAGATGCACGGGAGGGCGGCTGTCGTCGTACCCGACAACGTCCTGTTCGAAGGCGGCGCCGGTGCGGCGGTGCGGCGGCGCCTGCTGGTCGAGTGCGACGCCCACACCCTCCTGCGGCTGCCCACCGGCGTCTTTTACGCCCAGGGTGTCAAGGCCAACGTGCTCTTCTTCGACCGCAAGCCCGCCAGCGAGACCCCGTGGACCCGCGACCTGTGGATCTACGACCTTCGCACCAACCGGCGCTTCACCCTAAAGACCAGCCCGCTGACACGCTCCGACCTGTACGACTTCGTAGCCTGTTACAACTCGGAAGACCGCCGCGAGCGCCAGGAGACCGAACGGCTCCGCCGATTCAGCTACGACGACCTAGTGAAGCGGGACAAGGTGAACCTCGACATCTTCTGGCTGCGCGACGAAAGCATGGAGGACTCTGCCAACCTGCCGCCTCGGGACCAGATCGCCGAGGAGATCGTCGAAGACCTCCGTACTGCCCTGGAACAGCTCGAAGAGATTGCAGTCGACCTGTCGGCATAGACGGAGGTCCTCGTACAACTGGAATCCTTGCCATGATTATCCTACATGCAGGCGAGTCTGACGGCGCGCTGGTTCTCTGGGGCGAAGCATTGAGGGACGATGGCGTCCACCCGCCCTCAAGGCGTCGGCGAAGGACGAAGGTGTCCTATGCGAGTCCTCATCCGTTTGCCGCCAGCGCTCGCGACTTGGCGGAAGCCCTAAAGAAAACGGCGCTCGGTCCCAAACCGGCGGCAAAGCGACTTGCCACGTGACGGCCTGGCTGCCGACCAAGGGCGACAGCCCCATTCCTTCCAGCAGCCTGATCGCAGAACCGCCCAGGTCGCGTGCGAAGACGAAGATTGCGCATGGACGGTCGCAGCCTATCGACTCTCGGCGGCGGAGGCCGTGGAGCTTCTGTGCGCGTCCATGGGCAGCCGGACGCTCGCGGCAGGCGTGATCGTCGGCTCTGATCTGGCGTACTGGGCGGAGGCGCTCCGCTTTGCCGGGTCGATGGTGGCGCGGCAGCAGTTTCTTCCGGGTCTGACGACCGACAATGATGCGCCCCGCGCGACGTGGGATCCCATCTTTATGGGGACGGACGCGGAACGGCTGCCCGCGCTGGCCGGGCGGATGCCCGCGGCTGCGCGGGCGCTCTCCGAGCCCGGCGCAGCCGCGCCTCCTGAGAGGCCCTCCACCGAGGTGCTCAGGCAGTTTGTGGCCACGCTAACGGACCACCTGGTGCGCACCGCAGCCTCTGATGCGTCTCTACCCGCGCCCCGTCGTCGCAGGAAGAAGCCATCCTTCGTCAGCGTGCACGACGCTTGGCTTCATGCCCTCAGGTCGAAAGACGGGACCGTTGCGGGAGATGAGTACGATCTCTCCCAGTTCGCCGCACAGGTCCGCGAATGGCGGCGACCGGTCGCGGTTTCGGAAGGTTCCCAGTTCCGCCTCTGCTTCCGCCTAGAGGAACCGGAAGATACTGCGGGGACCGATAGGGCGGATGACAAGACCTCCAATGACGGATGGTACGTCCGCTATCTGCTCCAGCCTCACGACGATCCGAGCCTTCTCATACCGGTAGAAGAAGCGTGGAAGGCCAGGGCCCGCACGAAATCCGCGCTCAGGCGTAACGGCTCGAACGTGCGGGAGTTCCTGCTCTCCTCGCTGGGACAGGCTTCCGGCATCTGTCCTTCAATCACGGCCAGCCTCGAGAACGCAAGGCCCGCCGGATACTTGCTTGACACTGCGAGAGCTCATCAGTTCCTGACCGAGGAGGCCGTCGCACTTGAGCAGGCGGGCTACGGCGTGATGCTTCCTGCTTGGTGGACGCGCAAGGGCACGAAGGTCCGGCTGGCCGTCCAGGCCAAGGTCAAGAGCCCGAAGATGCAGGGTGGAAGCGGTCTGTCTCTGGAGACGATTGTCCAGTTCGATTGGGAAGTGGCCCTCGGAGACCAGAGGCTCACCCTCCGGGAGCTGGAGGCGCTTGCGCGGATGAAGGCCCCGCTTGGTCAGGGTCCGCGGTCAATGGGTCGAGATGAGCGCCCAGGAGATTCAGGCGGCGATCGATTTCTGGAGGAAGAAGGGATCTGAAAAGGCGACCGTCCGAGACATCATCCAGATGGCGCTCGGAGCCAGGGACGCGCCGCAGGGTTTCGGCTTCAACGGCGTCAGGGCCACCGGATGGATCGGAAAGCTGCTGAAGCAGCTGATGGGCAGGCGGAGTTCAAGGAGCTTGCGTCTCCGAGGGGCTTCTCCGGCACGCTCCGTCCCTATCAGGTCCGCGGCTATTCGTGGCTTTCGTTCCTGAGGCAATGGGGCCTGGGAGCGTGTCTGGCCGACGACATGGGCTTGGGCAAGACGATTCAGACCCTGGCGCTCATCCAGCGCGATTGGCGGGCCAACGGCAAGCGGCCTGTCCTCCTCGTCTGTCCAACCTCGGTGGCAAACAACTGGCAGAAAGAGGCCGCCCGCTTCACTCCTCGACTTCCTGTGCTGGTCCATCACGGCCCCGGCAGGAAGCGAGGTGCGGCGTTCAAGAAGGAGGCGGAGAGCACGCCATCGTCGTCTCCAGCTACGGACTGGTGCATCGGGACCTCAAGTTCCTCAAGGAGGTGCCGTGGGGCGGCGTGGTGCTCGACGAGGCCCAGAACATCAAGAACCCTGAGACGAAGCAGGCGAGGGCGGCACAGTCGCTGGAAGCCGACTACCGCATCGCCCTGACCGGAACGCCGGTGGAGAACAACGTGGGCGACCTGTGGTCGATCATGGAGTTCTTGAACCCCGGCTTCCTGGGCTCCCAGAGCGAGTTCAAGCGCAACTTCTTCGTGCCCATCCAGGCCGAGCGGGACGCGAGCGCGGCAGAGCGCCTCAAGCGCGTTACCGGCCCGTTCATCCTCCGTAGACTCAAGACGGATAGGTCGATCATCTCCGATCTGCCCGAGAAGCTGGAGACGAAGGTCTTCTGTCCGCTGACGAAGGAGCAGGCATCTCTGTATGCCTCCGTTCTCAAGGAGACGGAAGAGGCGTTGGAGTCGGCCGATGGCATCCAGCGGAGAGGGCTGGTCCTGGCCACGCTCTCCAAGCTCAAGCAGGTCTGCAACCATCCGGCACAGTTCCTGGGCGACAACTCCGGCATCAACGGCCGGTCCGGCAAGCTCACGAGGTTGACGGAGATGCTGGAGGAGGTTATCGAGGTCGGCGACCGGGCGCTGGTCTTCAGCCAGTTCGCGGAGATGGGCGACCTGCTTCAACGCCAAGTGCAGGAGACGTTCGGCCTAGAGGCGCTGTTCCTTCACGGCGGGGTGCCGAAGCGCCAGCGCGACCGCATGGTGGAGCGCTTCCAGGATGAGGGCGGCGGGCCGCAGGTCTTCATTCTGTCTCTGAAGGCCGGCGGCACCGGGTTGAACCTAACCTCGGCCAACCACGTCTTCCACTTCGACCGCTGGTGGAACCCTGCCGTCGAGGACCAGGCAACCGACCGGGTATTCCGCATCGGCCAGACGCGAAACGTCCAGGTCCACAAGTTCATCTGCGCCGGAACGCTGGAGGAGAAGATCGACGAGATGATCGAGATCAAGAAGGAAATCTCTGAACGAGTCGTGGGAGCAGGTGAGGGCTGGCTTACGGAGCTCTCCAACGACGACCTGAGAGAGGTCTTGGCTCTGAGCAAGGAAGCGCAGGAGGGATAGGATGGCATATCGTTACGATGGATACTTCGAGCCTTCCCGGCCTCGTAAGGCGAAGGGCGGCATCAAGGCCCAGTCCACACGGGGCAGATTCGGCCAGAGTTGGTGGGCTAGCCGCTGGATAGAGGTCCTTGAGGGCTTCGACCTCGGAGCGAGGCTCGCTCGCGGCAGGTCCTATGCTCGCCGGGGCCAGGTGCTATCGATTGATGTCGAAAAGGGCGCTGTGACGGCCAGAGTGCAGGCTCCCGTGCCCGGCCTTACCGTGTCGAGATCAGAGTCGAGACGCTTGGCGGTTCGGACTGGAAGAAGCTGACCACGGCGCTGTTAGAGCGGCCCGTCTTCGCCGCGAAGCTGCTGGCTGGCCAGATGCCCGAGAATATCGAGGACGTCTTCAGGGACGTAGGACTTTCCCTCTTCCCTGACAGGAGTGACGACCTTGAGACCGACTGCTCATGCCCCGACTGGTCGAATCCTTGCAAGCACATCGCGGCGGTCTACCTCCTCCTGGGTGAGGAGTTCGACCGCGACCCCTTCCTGATCTTCAAGCTGAGGGGAGCGGAACGTGGAGAACTCTTGAGCTTGGCCGGACGCGAGGCCGTGGGCAGCAGCGTCGGAGCCTATGAAACGACCATCAAGTCTCGTGCTGACCAGGGGACAGATCAATCACCAACTGAGCCTCTTCCTGCTGAGCCCGCCGAGTTCTGGGGACAGGAGACCACTGAGCGAGAGGAGGCTGCCCATGGGGCAGCGCGCATCCCAACGGTTTCTGCGTCGCTGCCGAAACGGTTGGGCAACTTCCCGTTCTGGCGGGGCCGCGATGGCTTCATACCTGCGTTGGAGGAGATATACAGCAGGGCGTCGCCTGCCGGATTGGATGTGTTTCTTGGGGAACGGCAGCGCTCAGTGCGTTCGAAAGCCGCTGGTCATGATGAGTGATCGGTTGCGTGGCGAACTCTAGGCTATGGGCTCGTACCTGGGCTGTCGTGGGGCACGGTCGCGCTTGAGCTGGTAGTGGCTGCCCACCAGGGGAAGATCGACCCTTGCGCCGCCTCGCTGGTGCGACTCGATGAAGGCGAAGATGAGCTCGGTGCTCCTGTGCGCCACCGTCACGCCTCCGCGGGGCGGCTCGCCGGAGTCGAGGGATGTTACGAGATCGTCGACTATCCCGACCGCAGAGCTCGATTCGACGAACTGTGGGGCGTCCGCCGCCACCAGCGGGCCTGACCGGCCCATTGCGTCCTTCGGCCCCTCTTTTCGGACGAACCACTCGGTCCCGTCCGACAGCGCGCTGATCGCGCCGCCCTCCAGGACGGCCTCGTGCTCGCTGCCCCTGCCCGTCTGCAGGCAGTAGGCCGTAACGCCATTTTCGAACTCGATGATGCCCTGGGCCCGGGGGTCTTCCTTGAGCCGTGTCCCTTCGATGATGTCGTCGTCCAGCAGGCTTCCCTGTACCCAGAGGGCTTTGTGGTCGCTGTTGAGCCTCAGCAGCAGGTCGATCCAGTGGCTCGATGAGTTGAACAGGGTCCCGAAGGAGTAGCTGATGAGTGTCGTGAGCCGTCCAAACTCCCCGCCGTCGATCATGGCCTTCATGGCGTCGTACCTGGTGTTCCAGCGCCTGTTCGTGCCGAGATTGAAGAGGACGCCGTTAGCCTCGCAAGCCTCGACCATCGCGTCGGCTTCGGCCATCGAAGCGGCCATGGCCTTCTCGGCGTAGATCGCCTTGATGCCGTTGTTGGCCAGCCAGACGGTGATCTCGGCCCGTGGCTCCGGCTGGGTGGCCACGCTGACAATGTCCAGCCTCTCCCTGGCCACCATAGCCTTGTAGTCGGTATACTGGCGCCCCCTTGGGATGCCGTAGCGCTCGCCGAACTTTTCCATGACGTCCTCGCGTAGATCCGAGCACGCCACGATGTCGACCCGATCGTGGGCCTCGTAGGCTGCCGCGTGGGAGGCGGGCAGCCTGGAGCCGACCGACTCGTTGTCGATGAACCCGCCGATGCGACTGCACCCTATAACGGCCGCTCTGTACCTCTTCACTTCGAGCCTCCTTGAAGCCAGCCCTCTTCGGGTGCGCAGGTCGCAGGCGAGCCAACGCAGCCCCGCGGGCAAGGCGGCAAGGATGCTACCACACGCTCCAGTCTCGTACAACTGGGCGCATCCAGATTCCCCACCTAACATTGTGGGTGTGGCCTTTGTGGTTCTGACAGGACGTGTTCAGTGTCGATTCGGTGGTCACATATGGTCAGATCGTGCTGAAGATAGACCTTGGGCGATGTCTATGTGGGTATATTCAGCGTACGCGCGCCGATAGTGGCTGTTGTCAGGCCGAAGAAGGCATGGCCCGGCCTGGCAACTCGGCTGAGTCGCCTTCAACCGCTGCTCTACGCAGGACCGCTTATGCCGGGTACGGCTCGGCAGCTATCGCGAATATCCTCTGCCGTGCCCTGAGCAGCAACTCGTATGAGGGATGGCCACGGGCCAGGCGGATTATCAGCCTCCTGGCGTGACTCACCACACGGCCCGGAAGGGCAATCAGGGCGAAGCGCACTGCCTTCAGACGCCTGCTCACCCACTGTTCCCCCAACACCAGCCGCTTCATCGTAGAGTTCAGATTGAAGGCCAGCACCGCCATCGCCCACCATGCTGCGTTGGAACCGAACAGCCCCGACGGAAGCCTGCCCCCGGCCAAGTCATTCTTGACAACGCCGTGGACCTCCTCGCCCTTGCCACATCTATGCCTCGACCACCAGATCAACTCATCTCCCGCAATGCTCCGGTTGGTCACCACTCCAAACACCTTATGCCAACCCCTGCCGGACAACTCCATGGCAGCAAAGGGCAACTCCATCTGCCCCTCCATCCCAGGCAGCGGCTGTTCGGTCAACCGCTCCCTGATAGCTATGAACCGGTACTCAGGGTTCTTCTTGCTGTAGGCTATCCAGCTGGGTACGAAGTTCACCTCAGCCCACTGCTGACCCGTATCCACCCTGTGCTCGCCCACCTTCCGGTACAGCGTCTGCCACTCTTGTTCGCCAACCTGTGAGACCGCACGGCGGAACTCGACCGTCACGTCAACCCCCACCGCAAACTCGATCACCCCGAACCGCTCGTCCCTGCCCTCGGCGCAGTACCGCAGCAGCTCCTGCTGATAACCCGCCGTGTCAGACCTCAACATCACTCTCTCCACACCGGCAGGCAGATGCCCCAGCGCTTCGGTCAACACCCGCAGCTGCTGGTAGCCCGCAGGTACGTTGCCGTCTCGGAACTCCGAATGGACGATCAGGTCGGCCTCTGACCAGTAGGTCGTCAGCGGCTGGTACGCCCTGTACTTCTTGTAGCTGTAGAGAGCCTCCTGCTTGTGCGTCTCGACCAGGCTGGCGTCCATGTCCAGCGTGGCCTCCCTCTGAGGCGAACGGCCCTGCACGAAGCCCATCAGGTCGGCGTTGACCTTATACAACCCACTCAGAGCTTCGTTGGGAGAAGGTATGAACGCTCTGTGAGCTTCCCGACGGGCCTCCTCGTCCGCGTCATGGAACATCTCCAAGTACCGGAACACCGCCGAGTCTGATGGCACGCTCCGATGACGCTCGCCTCGCCACCTCTCTTTCAACGCCCTACGCTCTCGACGACCCATCCCGCAGGTCTCGACCTCCCGAAGCATCCTGCTGAACCCAGCGTCCTTGTCCAGAACATCCAGGTCGGACACCGACTCGCCGCCTGCCAGGTTCAGCAGTATCAGCGAGGTGATCATCTGGCTGTCCGTCCAGCCCTGCCTATGCTCCCGCAGTCCCACGTGGCGCTCTACCGATGACTTCAAGCCGGATGCATGCATCAACTCCAGGTACGTGACCAGGCCGGACAGCCCCGTCATACCTGTCGTGCTCTTCTCCTGCTCATACTGGAACGGCAGAACTCCTTGCTTCATAATAAGTGCACCTCGTTGGTGATCGTTTCGCTGTTGCACGGAACATCTTAGCCCGCTATACGGCGGGCTCCAACGCGGTCCCCTATCTGTTCTAGCTGGGGAGGGAAATCAGGGCGTGGTTGAGCTCATTGGGAGTCGAAGCTGCCCCCCAAACACTGACTAGAGAGGTAGGATGCTATAATGGCCTGCGTCGGAGGCAGTGACGTCCGCCGACCGGCCTATGGGGGCGGCGTAGACGAGCAGTCAACCGGCGCGAGTGATCGTCGGAAAGCGGAGTCGTCCCGACGGGGGATCGCTGACCGTCGATTCTGCACTTTAACAACTGAATCCTGCGCGAATTGAAATAGTTGATCCTTGATGTGGGTCAAGTTAGTAAGGGTCTACGGTGGATGCCTTGGGGCCAAGGGCCTAAGAAGGGCGTGGCAAGACTACGAAAAGCCTCGGTTAGCTGTCTAGCAAGCTTAGCCGGGGATGCCCGAATGGGGAAACCCGTCCCGGGTCATGCCGGGACATCCCGTTAAATCGGGAAGGTAAGCGAGGGAACTGAAACATCTAAGTACCTCGAGGAAAGAAATCAACCGAGATTCCCCTGAGTAGTGGCGAACGAACGGGGAAGAGCCCAAACCCGTGGCGGCTTAACGGACTGAGGTCCTATGCCGTCGGGGTGTTGTAACACGCGCCTACCTCGGCCTCAGAACGAGGAGAGGAGTCAGAAACCCCCTGTTTAGCCGAACAAGCCTGGAAGGGACGACCATAGAGGGTGATAGTCCCGTAGGCGAAAGGCAGGGGACTCCTGGCGCGCTGTTGAGTACCACGGGACACGTGGAAATCCTGTGGGAAGCTGGGGGGACCACCCTCCAAGGCTAAATACCCTTGGCCACCGATAGTGAACCAGTACCGTGAGGGAAAGGTGAAAAGAACCCCGGGAGGGGAGTGAAATAGACCTGAAACCGTAGACTTACAAGCCGTGGGAGGTCCCGCTAGTCGGGGGGATGACCGCGTGCCTATTGAAGAATGAGCCGGCGAGTTAATCTAGGCAGCTAGGTTAAGGAATATAAGTTCCGGAGCCGCAGCGAAAGCGAGTCCTAATAGGGCGTGAGCCGGGCGGGGACGGAGCCGAAGCTGGAGGCTCGGGCGAAGCCGATACGCGATTCGTCGCGTGGACGCAGCGTTCGGAATCGAAGCTGGAGGCCGAGTTCTCACTATGTCTGGCGTGTGTCTGGATTAGACCCGAAACCGGGTGAGCTACCCATGGCCAGGTTGAAGCCCCGATAGTATCGGAGTGGAGGACCGAACCCGTGTCTGGTGCAAAAGGCTGGGATGAGCTGTGGGTAGGGGTGAAATGCCAATCGAACCCGGAGATAGCTGGTTCTCCCCGAAATGTATTTAGGTACAGCCTCAATGAAGTCTTGGGGAGGTAGGGCACTGGATGGGCTAGGGGGCGTGAGCTACCAAACCCAACCAAACCACGAATGCCCAAGATGATCATTGGGAGTGAGACAGTGGGGGATAAGCTCCATTGTCGAGAGGGAAACAGCCCAGACCGCAGGCTAAGGTCCCGAAGTGTGGACTAAGTGTGAAAGGAAGTGGGATCTAAAACAGCTAGGAGGTTGGCTTAGAAGCAGCCACCCTTTAAAGAGTGCGTAACAGCTCACTAGTCGAGGGGTCCTGCGCCGAAAATGTAACGGGGCTAAGTCCACCACCGAAGCCGCGGCCTACCGTAGCAATCCGGGAGGGAGGTAGGGGAGCGTTGCCAGGGCGTGAAGCTCGGTCGTGAGCCTGGTGGAGCGCTGGGAAGTGAGAATGCCGGCATGAGTAGCGACAATCCTGGTGAGAATCCAGGACACCGAAAGCCTAAGGTTTCCTACGCAACGCTGATCGACGTAGGGTAAGTCGGGCCTAAGCCGTAGCGCACAAGCGAAGGCGATGGACAGCAGGTCAAGATTCCTGCACCACTGATTTACTCGTTATAAGCAAAGGGGGGACACGGAAGGTAGGCGGAGCGCGCCCATCGGACATGGTGCGTTTGTCCCTGTAGGCCATGCCAGGATAGGCAAATCCGTTCTGGCGTTAGAGCTGAGAGGGGAGAGAACTCTAGGGCTAAGCCCTGGGGGAATTCCGCTGATCCTATGCCGTCAAGAAAAGCCTCGTGCAAGAGTATTGGTGACCCGTACCGCAAACCGACACAGGTAGGCTGGGGTAAAGTCCCGAGGTGAACGAGAGAACCCTCGTTAAGGAATTCGACAACTTAGCCCTGTAACTTTGGGAGAAAGGGTGCCCGTGGGGTGAAGGCCGCTTGCCGGCGAAGCCCTTGCGGGCCGCAGTGAAGAGGCCCAGGCGACTGTTTATCAAAAACACAGGTCTCTGCTAAAGCCGAAAGGCGATGTATAGGGGCTGACGCCTGCCCAGTGCCGGAAGGTTAAGGGGAGGGTTCGACGTCGGACAAAGCTCGAATCGAAGCCCCGGTGAACGGCGGCCGTAACTATAACGGTCCTAAGGTAGCGAAATCCCTTGTCGGGTAAGTTCCGACCCGCACGAATGGCGTAACGACCTGGGCGTTGTCTCAACGAGGGGCTCGGTGAAATTGCAAGGCCCGTGAAGATGCTGGCTACCCGCGACAGGACAAAAAGACCCCGTGGAGCTTTACTGTAGCTTGGCAGTGGACTGGGGTTATGGATGTGTAGGATAGGCGGGAGACTGTGAAGCCGCGACGCCAGTCGGGTGGAGTCGACCTTGAAATACCGCTCTTCTGTGATTTCGGCCCTAACCCCGTAGAAATCGGGGGACCCTGCCAGGTGGGCAGTTTGACTGGGGCGGTCGCCTCCTAAAAGGTAACGGAGGCGCCCAAAGGTTCCCTCAGGGTGGATGGAAATCACCTTAGAGTGCATTGGCATAAGGGAGCTTGACTGTGAGACCTACAAGTCGAGCAGAGACGAAAGTCGGGCAAAGTGATCCTACGGTTCCGAGTGGAAGGGCCGTGGCTTATCGGATAAAAGCTACCCCGGGGATAACAGGCTAATCTCGCCCAAGAGTTCACATCGACGGCGAGGTTTGGCACCTCGATGTCGGCTCGCCGCATCCTGGGGCTGAAGAAGGTCCCAAGGGTCCGTCTGTTCGCCGGTGAAAGCGGCACGCGAGCTGGGTTCAGAACGTCGTGAGACAGTTCGGTCTCTATCCGTCGTGGGCGCAGGAGATTTGAGGAGAGCTTTCCCTAGTACGAGAGGACCGGGAAGGACGGACCTCTGGTGTACCGGTTGTTCCGCCAGGAGCACCGCCGGGTAGCCATGTCTGGATGCGATAAGCGCTGAAAGCATCTAAGCGCGAAGCCAACTCCAAGATTAGATCTCCCATCCCGACTTAGGTCGGGAGTAAGGTCCCCGGTAGACTACCGGGTTGATAGGCCGCAGGTGTAAGTCGGTAACGGGATTCAGCTGAGCGGTACTAATAGACCGAGGACTTGACCCACATTAAGGGTCATTACTCAGAGTGTCATACAGAACTTTGACAGGATTCAGTACAGGTATGCATGTGGCAGCGGTTGCGCGTTATGACGCACGTCCGAATTTTTTAGTAATAACGCGGGGTGGAGCAGCGGCAGCTCGTTGGGCTCATAACCCAAAGGTCGCAGGTTCGAGTCCTGCCCCCGCAACCAGAACGCATAACGAACGCCCGTCAGCAATTTGGCGGGCGTTCGTGTACATTACGGGATTGAATCACTTCACGCAGGAGGTCGGAACGATGGGCGGGATGATGATTTTCGGCATCGTACTTGCGGTGGCAGGCCTGTCCGTTGCGTTATTGTTCGACCTGGCAGCAACCCTGCTCATAGCCGTCGGGATATCGTCGCCGTAGTCGGTGGTGCAGCCGCGGTCTACGGAGGCGTATTGGAGAAGGTGTGGGGGTTGGCGCTGCTTCTCCTTGGCATCGTCGTAGCCGTCATGGGCGTGTTCATGAGTTTCCTGCTCGATCTTTGGATCGTGCTATGGATAATACGGTACGGCGGAATGATCATGGTGGTCGCCGGCGTCATCATGGCGGCGATCGGGCTGATAGGAATGTTCAAAGGCGATGACGATAGGCGTATCGAAAAGATGATTAAGAAAGAACTCAAGAGTATGAAGTGAAGGGCTTCCGACTGGAGCAGAGGTTCTCGATCGTGTTACCACACTGAACGAATCATGGATATCTGATGACGGTGATGCATGCTGTTCTGTCGTAGGAAGACCGTCCAATCACACATAACTGAGGGAGCGATGGCTCATGGTTGACATACTCCTTTCCCCCGACGACCGTTTCACTCTCGATTCGCTCATGGCAAAACGCGACTCGATAGAAGACACGCTCTCGAAGGACATGCGGACGAGGGCGCGCCGCGTCTTGAGTTGGCTGGAGCGGGCGCGGTCAGGAAGAAGATGACCCGGACGCGGCGTTCATGTTCTATTGGATCGCGTTCGAGGCCGTCTACGCGGAGTGGACACGCGAAGGGCGGGACTCAATGGGCAAATTTCAGAAATTCTTCGAGAAAGCGACGGCTGCGGACGCGGGATGAATACGATCCGGGACGAAGTCTTGGGCGATCTCGCCGATACGATCCTGGAAGTCGTCGCCAACCCCTACATGTATTCGAGCCGTTCTGGGACTACTACAACGGGATTTCGGACTCCGACGACGAATGGCAGGAACTTCTGATCAGCGATGTGCGGCGGGTGAGCGTTCGGCTGGAGGATGGGGACGCGGTAGAGCCGCTGGCTGCGGTGTTCGATCGTCTGTGCGTCGTCCGCAATCAGTTGTTCCGCGGCGAGGCGACTTGGAATAGGTACGTGAATCGGAGCCAGATTGAGGGAGGCACAGAGATACTGGCCTTCGTCGTCCCCGTGCTGGCGGATCTGATGATGGATAATCCGGAGGCGTTCGACCGTTCATCTCGGTATCCGTCGGTAGAAAGCGATACGGCAGAGACAGTTGAGGACGTGCTGGACTACTCTATTGCGGTGAACGTCGACAGGCGAATCCGCGACGGTCAAGAACGAGTGTATTCGTCCGCCGAAGTAAGGAAAGAGCTTGGCCTGGACGATTGATTACTCTCGCATGGCGAGCGTTCGGCTACGAAAACTCGACAGAAATACAGCTCAGCGGATTGTGGACTACATGGAGCAGCGAATAGCGCCTTTGGGCAATCCGCGCTCCAAGGCGCGCAAGATGGAGGGTGGTCGCTTCAGTGGATACTGGCGCTATCGAGTAGGCGACCATCGTGTGATATGCGATATTCAAGACAGTGCTCTACGTATCCTGGTACTCAGAGTTGGAAGACGCGACAGCGTGTACCGTTAGTTAGCGGCGCTGGACTCCATCCGCCGGATTTGTTTTAATCCAGTAATCCTACGCCGAAGTACGACCAGTGTGCCCTACCCTTTCGACTATCATTCTCCGCCGGCTCTTGGTAGTGGCGGCGCTATGCTTGGTCGCGGCTTCGGCAGCCTGTGAGGAAAAGCCTGATATGCAATGGGACTCGCCGCCCGCGATGGAAATCGATTCGGACAAGCAATACACCGCAACCATCGAGTTGGAGAAGGACGACGGCAAGGTCGAAGTGGAGCTATTCGCCGACAAGGCCCCGATGATGGTGAACAACTTCGTCTTCCTGGCCCGACAGGGCTACTACGACGGAGTCACCTTCCACCGGGTGATCGAGGGGTTCATGGCCCAGACGGGAGATCCGACAGGAACGGGTCGAGGCGGTCCCGGATATCGTGTCGACAATGAGTTCCACCACGACCTGCGACACGATGGACCCGGGGTGCTCTCGATGGCCAATGCGGGGGTTCAGGGCGGTCGAGGCACGAACGGCAGCCAGTTCTTCATCACCTTCGTTCCCACGCCTTTTCTCGATGGTCTGAACCCGGACGGCTCTGCCAAGGACTGCTCGAGCGAGTCGTGCCACCCGGTCTTTGGGCGCGTCACTGAGGGTATGGAGCACGTCTTCGCGATCAGTCCGCGCGACCCCGGTTCGGCGCGCGAACCGGGCGACCGAATCCGCACGATATCCATCGTCGAGCGGTAAGTCTTCAGACACGTCCCCTTAACTCCCCCGTCCGCCCTGCGGGCCAGCGCGGTACAATCCTGCCATGAGCTACGCCGCCGACCTGCACGTCCACTCGCGGTACGCATACGCCACAAGTCGGGACCTTGATTTCGACAGCCTCGCTCGGTACGCGAAGATCAAGGGCATAGACCTCCTCGCCAGCGCCGACTTCACGCACCCCGACTGGTTCGAGGAGTCTCGTCTCAAGCTCAACGACGCAGGCACGGGACTGTTCGAGTATGGCGGAGTGTCGTTCATTTTGGGTACCGAAGTGGAGTGCCACGGAAGGCAGGGCGGGCGGGGCCGCCGCGTGCACGTGCTCGTCTTTGCCCCGGATTTCGCGGCAGTCGAGCGCATAAATGCCGCGCTCAGTCGATACGGCAAGCTCGACGGGGACGGACGAACCGGCGCTCGGCCTGCTTCCCGCGCGACCTACTTGCGCTCATCAAGAGCATCGACGAGAGGTGCTTCCCTGATTCCGGCCCATCTGTGGACGCCTTGGTTCGGGCTGTACGGCTCGAAGTCGGGCTACGACTCACTGGAGGAATGCTTCGGCAGCGACGCCGGCGAGATTCCGGCTATCGAGACGGGGCTGTCGAGCGATCCCGCCATGAACTGGAGGGTGCCTTCGCTCGACAACGTGTCGATCATGTCGTTTTCGGACGCTCACTCTGCACCAACCTGGGACGTGAGTTGACCGTGGTGAATGGGGAGATGACGTACGACGGCCTCGTCCGGGCGATGCGGCGTCAGAACATTGCATACACGGTCGAGTTCTACCCGGAGGAGGGTAAGTACCACCACTCGGGGCACCGCGCTTGTCATATCAAGATGAGCCCGGAGGAAGTGCGGGAGCAGGGGAGATCCTGCCCATCGTGCGGACGCCGGATCACGGTGGGCGTGTCGTACCGTGTCGAGCAACTGGGCGGCAGGAAGGTGGATACGTGGATCGGCGATGACGGACTGGTCCATGGGGAAACTGGTCGTCCGCCATTCAAGTCCATGGTTCCCCTACGCGAAATCCTTTCGGAGAGTCTCGGCGTCGGGGTGAGGACGAAAACGGTTGCCAGAGTGTACGAGCGGCTGATCGAGAGCCTAGGAACCGAACTATCGGTACTCATAGATGCGCCGATTGCGGAGATCGAGTCAGCTTCGGATGAGCGGACTGCGGAGGGAATCGACCGAGTGCGGAGGGGAGACATTTTCGTGGGACGGGGTAGACGGCGTGTACTGGCACCGTTCGCGTGTGGGGCAACGCAAGCCAGAAGCGCTGATTGTGAACGGGAACGATTGGTAGAAACCAGTCATACTACCACCACGACTGCCGAAAGCAATTCCAGGCGTGGATAATACAGATCGGAGTGAGATACGCAAACGCCACTCTATTACCCTCGACACAGTGGACGAGGAGGATTGCTCGCTTGAAGAGCTGGCTCGAAGACGACGAGGTGGCGGAGAGCTGGTTCGGACGCTACTCGTACGGCGACCCTGCTCACTTGGGCTACAACCCCACGGAGGTCGTGGACGCGGGAGAGGAGCAATGGGCCTCCATCTTCGAAGACCCTGCTCACAGCATCCTGTCCGTCTACACCGAAGACGGGGAACACATCGGCGAGTTGCACGTGGCGATCGAGGAAGTCTGGGGGGACGGACAGATTTCAATTCTGATCGGCCGGAAGGACTTGTGGCACAGGGGGTATGGTACGGCGACGATGAGGTCCGGGCTCGGTCTGTGCTTTGGAGAGCTGGGGCTCTATCGAGTCTGGGTGGATGTACCGGAATACAATTTGGCGCGCAGAGGGATTGTTCGAGCGGCTGCGCTTGTCACGCACGAGGGGACGCTGCGCAAGAGCCGGCCCATGAAGGCGCGCGCTTCGATTCGGTGGTGATGGGTATGCTCTCAACCGAGTACGGTGCAGAGGAACGCGCTAGACGACATGGACGATGTCTGATCCGGAGGCGATTCCACCGGACGGCCCACTACACCAATTGTCTTTATGCCACCGCATATTCTCGCTGATTCGAAACTTCCTGGACTCGGCGTGTCGAGACGTGCGCTCCTACGCGGTATATGACGGGTTTATGCTGGTTCGGTTTCGCGATACTCCGTCGATGGAGATCGTCGGGTGCGGGCAGTAACCGGTCGAGCAGGCCTGGCGTCTTGCGGAAGTAGTCGGCCTCACGGATTTGTTGCCCGGTTCAGGCCCGTTCGAGTCGGCGATCGTCCGGCGTTATGATGGCTGCACTGGCGTGGCGCTTGAACTTCATGAGCGCGGCACTGTTGGCAGTGCCACCGCGAACAACCCGCGCGCGAGCGCGCAGTCGCGATCGCGATGAGGGAGACCACATGAGCAGACCGAGAAGCGCCGGGGCCGCGAGCTCGTAGGAACGTCGGATGCCGTGGCCTGCGCCCTGTCCCAGAGGTTGCCTGATGCATGCGAAGAATCTCCACGGTGGCGCTGTACCTGCGGGCGACGTCGTTACTCGATGAGACTGGGTAGTGCTGTCGCGATCTTGCACGTCGCCGGGAGCTCCGAAATCGGCGCTCGACAGGTCGCCGATCTCGTAGGCACGAGGATCCTGACCTTTTCCGCGCCGTACAGATAGGACTTGTCGTACGCGACGGACTCTCCGTCGTAGCCGAAGTGGTAGGCGAACATGACCTCGTGCTCGCCGGGCGGGATGTTGGCCGGGACGGCGAATCCCCTATCGACCTGGATCGCGTCGGCTCCGACGAGGGAGGTCGATCTGGAGGCCTTCGACGCCGGGCGGAATGCCGAACGTAGGAACGATTCATCGGTTCGGCGCCGGGCACGTAGGTCCGGTCGCTGAGTTCACCACGTTGACGATCTCAGGCGTACACTCGCGGGCGATTTGTCGACCTGGGGGATGAGCAGCGAGGAACTCGACACGGAGAGGAGAGACTGGTCGTCGGAAGTCTCGTAGATGGTCACCGTGACAGGTGTCGGTGACTCAGGGCGAAGGTCGATGTCGGTCCCGTACACGACCCCTTGGTAGCGTATTGTCACTCCGTAGAGGGCCTCGGGATCGAGGGGGACGTTCTCGAAGCGGAAGTTGCCCTCGGTATCAGTGGTGGTAGTCGACTCTTCGTAGGTGCTCGCCGTTTGAACGGTGGAGTGTAACCGTAAGTCCGAATGGCGGAAGCGACTTGGCCGTGCCATTGATGATCTTGCCCGTGACTTCACGGACTTGTACTGCCTCTTGCGCGGCAACCGGATGTGTCCCCGTGGCGAAGAGGACCGCTGCGAGCAAGACCGCGAATCCTATCCACCCGCCACTATTCATCGTCCGTCCGTTCATCGACTCAGGTGAGGGGTCGGTAAATCCGCTCGCGTACTGCTCTGACCTCCATTGCCACGTTGGCGAGAAGCTCCTCTTCCTGCTGGTCCTCCAACTCCATGGCCTTCATGATGTTCGGCACTCGAGCATGTACTGTTCACGCAAATCGCGTAGTCGTCTTGCGTCAGGTTGCCGATGGCGTGCTCCAACTCGGTGTTCTTGAGGCCTGCGATGGCCGCCTCCCACCGGCGGGTCAGCTCCGAGTAGGTGGAGGTCTCATCCCGGAAGACGGTGGATATGCTCTCCTGAATACGAAGGGGTAGAGAATGGCCGCGGCCGGTATGAGGCCAGAGGACTGCGATGAGAACGAGCATGGCCGACCGCCCCTACACGCCCGCGAGTCGAACGCCCTTCGGGAGGGGAAGCGTCGCGGGACCGGTCGACGTGGAGGCGACAGAGCCAGACGGCGCCGAGCACGAACAGCGGACCGGCGACCCACATCCACCACACGAGGGGATTCACGTACACGCGAAACACGGCTGTACCGTTCTCGCCAAACTCGGACGGCACAATATAGAAATCCTCGATCGGGCGTGCTGCGGATGGCGGCGCGAGTGGCGCGCGACCTCATGGCTGAGGTAGAACGTCCTTCGCGCATACATGCCGCCAATATCTCGGCCTTGTCGGGAAACGTCGAAAGCGGGCCGCCATCTCGATTCGATCGGACTAGCGGCTGCGAACCGAAATCAACATACGTGAACTCGTAGCCGCCGAGCGATTCGGTGTCGCCGAGGGACATATTGAAGTCGCGCTGAACAGCATAGAACGAGGAGCCGATTGCGCCGATAGCCAGCATCGCGATCCCCAAGTGGACGATGTAGCCGCCGTACCGGGGACGGTTGGCACCAAGCAGCCTCGCGAGGCGAGCGGGTAGCTCTCTCCCCTGCGGTGTCGGACACGCGAGCCGCGCAGCCACTCGTGCCCGATTGCCACAAACGTGATGACGCAGATGGCGACGGCCAAGAGAGGAAGGGGCTCCCGCAGTCCGAGGATGATGAGTCCGGCGGTCACGATGGCCGCGCCCGCAAGCGGGACCCTGAGTATGGTGAGAAACGTTCCGCATGTTGCCCTTCGCCACGGCAGCAGCGGGCCTACTCCCATGAGGAAAACGAGCGACGAGGAGGATAGGGCCGTTTACCTGGTCGAAGAACGGCTTGCCGACCGTGATACCTCATCGGAAGCCGCCTTGGAGAAGACGGGGTAGATGGTGCCCCAGAGGGTGATGACGCGACGGCTAGGAAGAGGACGTTCTGCGTCAGGAAGGCGCTTTCGCGGGAGAGCATCGAGTCGAGACGCTCCCTGCTCTTGAGGGTGTCGATGCGCCACATGAAGGCGGCGAGTGCCGCGATGAGGGTGAACGCCATGAAGCCGAGGAAGACCCAGCCCATCGTCGATTGTGCGAATGAGTGTACGGACGGGACTGGGCCGCCGCGATTGATGAACATGCCCATCTCGGCGAGGACGAAGGCCACCGAGACGAGGATGATGTTCCACATTCGGAACATGCCGCGTCGCTTCTGTACCATGATCGAGTGAACGAACGCGGTCATCGCGAGCCAGGGCATGAGGGCGGAGTTCTCGACCGGGTCCCACGCCCAGTAACCTCCCCAGCCGAGGATTGTGTACGCCCACCACGATCCGAGCAGCAGCCCGACGGTGAGGATGAGCCATGACACCATTCCCCACGTTCTTCCGAGGTCGACCCACTCGTCGCGACCGCCGCGACCGGCCAGGAGAGCGCCGATGCCTATGGCGAACGGGATGGCAACCGAGATCAGGCCCATCATCTGCATGGGGGGATGGATGAACATCCCGAAGTGGATCAGCAGCGGGTTTATCCCCTGCCCGTCCGGGGGGGCGATGGCCAGGCGTTCGAGCGGGTTGGCAAGAAATACGATGACACCCAGGAAGAAGGCCATGACTAGGGCCATGACGCTCGTCGCGTAGGGGGCCGTATAGGGGAGCCTACGCGACAACGCCACCACCGCAACGGCGGTAAGGATGGAGTAGACCGTGGCGATGAACAAGAGCGATCCGGCGTTTCCGGCGTAGAGGGCGACCCAGGTGTAGACCTGTGGCAGGTCGAGGCTGCTATTCTCGGCGACGTAGCGCACCGAGAAGTCGTGTGTGACGAATGCGTATACCAGCGCCAGCGTCGAGGTCGCGAGCAGTAGCGGCACGGTCATCATGCCATAGCGCGCGCTCAGCACGAGAACGGGCGCCTGCAGTCGCCGGGCGAGGAAGGAGGCGACCGCAACGTATCCCCCGACGACGAAGGCTATCGGGAGCGCGACGAATCCGGCGTCAACCAGCAACGGCTTCTCCCGGGTCGGGGGTCTCCGCAGTCGTGCGGGATGGACGTTCGCCTTCCGAATCGGACGCCAGAGCGGCCTCGATGCGCTGGAAGTAAACGTCGCGCTCGGCTGCGGTCAGAACAGCCGCATGATCCGATGTCCCCTCGGTTCGGGGTGACGAACGGACGGCCAGACGAAGGACAAAGTACAGGGCAAGGGCCGCGGCGAGGATGCCGACAGGGGGAACGACCCACACGAGCCAGTTCAGACCCTCTCGCCGGGGTTCGAGCAGGACGCTTTGGCCGTATCGCTCGACGAAGAAATCCCTGATCTCATCGTTCATCAGGCCTTCTCCCAGCTTTTCATCGACCACACCACGCATGGCCTTGGCGCGCGGGTGTTGGGACTGGTCGATAGACTCACCGGGACAGACGGGACACATGACGGTCTTGTTGATCTCCTGCGCGCGGGCCTCCAGGGTTGGAAGCTCCTCATCTGACGCGCAGGCGAAAGTGAACGCCATGATCGCGGCGAGGAAGACCGCGAACGCGGAATGGGGGAATATCGTCTTGGCTGCGGGTGTCTTCATCTACCGAATCAGCGTACCACAAAGGGTGTGGGGATTCACCGCAGAGGGCGCTGGAGATCGCTGAGGTGGATACTGGATTCCCGCGTCGCGGAAGGACATAGGCGGCGGAGCGGCTCGTAGGTATTTCGGAGGAGTGGAGAGAGCTTGAGGCAACGCTACAGTATGGTGCGCACATTTCGTAAAATGTGTGGCATGTGTTGGCATTCCTGTGGCGATTTCGTCTTGTGATGTCACAGTTGATTGGCGTCCTCCGAGGACGACGCAGTGAAAGACGGCAGTTTCTGGTCGTAATAAGACACTGACGGTCCCGTCAGGCCTGCGTTTGGTATAATCATCGAGGGTATTGGGGACACGGAAAGGACGAATGAAATCCATATACATTTATCAGACGAGGCGGAGCCGGCAACCCGCGCTGGCGGTAACGCTCGCGACCTTGATAAGCGTCGAGGGGGCATCTGCCGTCGTCGTGAATCCCTTTGACGACGTCCACGGCGAATTCTACGGGAAGCTGCTCGGTCCGACAGGAAGGATACTTTCCCCCCACCCCCCGCCACAACCCACTCCGATCCAATGGACACGGTGGCCGGACCGATGCAGGCAGGCTTGCCGGAGACAGCGCGTCCTGATCGTGGAAGGGTCACAGCCGTTCAGCAACGAGGCGGCACGGGAACTCGCCGAAGCGCTCGATGCAGGGGTGCTTGGGATAACCCAGCACGTTCACCCATACCCGCCCCCCACAGCCTCCCCCCACGCTAAATCTCCCCACTCCCTGAGTCTCACGCAGCCCCCCCAACTATGTCCCCCTAGGCTTAGCTGAGCCGTGCCGATAAATGTCGGCATCCAAATTTAAACAATGAGGGCCGCTTCCGCAGACATGAGTCCTTACGTTCCCCGCGCAAACAGGGAGTCTGATATAGTGACGCCAGCGTGACGGAACTGATCAAGGCTTCCACCATCCAACACACGAGTTCGAAACTGCGCTGTCGCAACGCTCTCGCTAGTGTTAACTATGCCAGCAACCAAACCGAAAGCAAAGACATCACCCTCGGCGGCGAAAGAACGAAAGGCTAACGACCAAAACGACATCGTTTTACCTTTCAGAGATGTACCAGGACAAAGAAAGAAGGAACAACGGGCCTTCCAAGACAAACCGAAACAGCAGCAGAAACAAAAAACAACAACACACCACCCCAAAAGCCACCTAAGAAATAGTACGCTATTCTTATCCATCCCGTCTCTCCTAACGATTCGTACTCATTCCTAGGATCGGCAACGGAGAGGTTACACGTGACGGAATAACACCCCTAGCTTATGTATTATGGGGCCGCACCTACGTACACCCCCCTGGGTGATTGAACCAGACAGAACACGAGGGGGAAAGGGTGCAGTGGAAGAGAAGCCGGAGGGTAACAAGGAGGGGAGGTTGGGCGGCCCCGAGGGGGGGGAGGTGGAGACCCCTCGAGGAGGCGGGGGAACGGGACCCAGGTAGGGGCAGAAAGAATGAACTAAAGCAAGACAGGCGGGGGTAGGGGGCGAGAGAGAAGGAAAAGGAGAGAGGGAAGGAAGAGGGGGGGAAAAGAGTAAAGGGGAGAGGAAATAGTCGATCGCCAAGGGATGCAGAAATAGAAGCGAGTAGGAGTGGTTGGCACGGCAACACCGCTGCCCAGTTTTCCTCCCGGCCCCACGCCCACAGCCGCTAGGATAAAAGGGGCCACTAGAGGCCTCGGGTAATGAACTCGGTCTCTACCTACTCTACTCTTGATGTCCCCCTTTGGTCTCCTGCTCTCCGTTCGCCTTCTTTGACTTTCATCCACGCCGATGACTCCGGTTCCCCGACTCGCCCCGCATGCCACTCTGACCGTATTAAGCAAGACTGTACAGTTAACGATCGCCCATACTGGTCTCCCCGGGAGTAAAAAAAAAGATGCGAACGACCTGTATTTCAGAGTGGCCTGCGCGTCGTGCGGACCGGCTCATCGGCGTGGTGATCAACGAGCGAACGGAGTACCAGGGGACAGCAGTAGAGACCGAGTTCATTCCCGCGCTCGAGGCCCTTGGCATCCGAGCGCTGGGCGTCGTGCCGGAGGACCGGAAGCTGGTGTCATCCACCATTGACCAGATCGTCGAGCACCTGGACGGTCGATACCTGGAGGGCAGCGAGTACGGCGACCGCATCATCGAACACTTCCTGGTCGGCGGGATGGGGCTGGACAGCGGCACGCTGTACTTCGGCATTCGAGAGGACAAGGCCGTGATCGTTCGCGGCGACCGTCCCGACATTCAGATGGCGGCGCTGCACACTCGACATCCTGCCTGATCCTCACCAACGGGACGGAGCCGTTGGAATACATCGAACACGAGGCGGAGCTGGAAGAGGTGCCCATCGTCATCGCCGACACGGACACCCTCGATACCATGAAGGCGCTGCGCACAGCTGCAAGAGAGGGTCAGGTTCGACCATCCGGACAAGGTTGAGCGCTCCGGGGCGCTGCTGAGGGAGAACGTCGATCTCGGCCCGGTGTTCGAGCGGTTGGGGGTCGGGGTAGCGTCTGACAGCGCTACTCCACCAGCGCGTCTCTGATCCTCGAAAGCGTGGCGTCGTCTACACCGACGCCCCTCACGTAGCCTCGATGCCGCCGTATTTGGACTCAAGGTGATCGAGGGTCATTCCCATCGCGGCGGGCGGGCACCACATGGCCTGATATTCCTCATAGGGTGGAATTTCGTTCGCGCCCGAACCGTCCGGTGGAACGACCGTGGAGCCATAGAGGAACCTCGCGCTCAGGGCGTAGTCCTCGACGATTCGCTCGCGGGGGACACCGGCGATGCCGAGCAGGAGAGCCGCGAGGACACCTGTGCGGTCCTTCCCTGCGGTGCAGTGGAAGACGGCGGGCAGCGCTCCGGTTGCGAGACCGTTTCGAGTATCGTCTTAACCATTTCGCCGCGCTCATCGAGAACGGTCGAGTACATGGTGGAAAGCCTGATCGACGAGTCGGCGGGTACGGGGACGGTGCCCCATGTGTCGATGAGGGCGTCTCCGGTCATGTTGTGGGGACGGTATCGAACGCCAGACAGGTCCTTGAAGACGCTGGGCGCTTCGGTCAGCTCCCGTGAGCCTCGGAGGTCTATGACGGTCCTGACACCGGCGTCGATGAGGGTGGACTGGCGGAGGGCGAGAGGGCGTGGATATCGGCTGCGCGGAAGAGGGCACGCCAGCGGGTCTGCCTGCCGTCCGAGTCTCGTAGCCGCCGAGATCGCGGACGTTGGAAGCGCCCTCGACGGCGATCGCTCGTCTGGGGTCGATGTCGGGGAGGTGTGCGGCGCTCATTCGGTCATTGCCTCCCGGATAGCGGTCAACTGGTCGTCGGTGACGCCGGTGTCGCGCAGGTAACCCTGCACGCCTCCGTAGTTAGCGTCGAGGAGGTCGAGGGTGAGTTCCATGCTTCGCGGGGCGCAGACGTCTTGCTGATAGTCCAGCCAAGTGTAGTCCTCAGGGTCACGTCGGGATTCTGCGCGTAGTAACGGCGAACGAGATAGCGGGCGGTGAGACCGTAGTCCTCGATGATGGTCTCGCGGGAACGCCGCAGATGTCCAGCACGAAGGCGGCGGTGATACCGGCCCTGTCCTTGCCGGCGTTGCAGTGGACGAGGGCTGGGAGGCCGTCGGGCATGGCGAGGATCGAGAAGATCTGGTGGAGGATGTGCTTTCGCTGGTCGAGTATTGAACAGTACGACCTACCCCGCCGTTCGGCTTGGTCCTCGATTCCATCGAGCACCTCCCTATGGGCGAGTCCCACGTCGCCGGACATGTTCTGGTGGTAGTAGGTGACGGACTCGTTGCCGATGAAGGGGCTAGGCCTGAACTGCAGGTCGCTGCTGCGGCGAAGGTCGATGATGTTGCGGACGCCATATTCCAGCAGAGTCTCGACACCACCCGGCGTCACGTTCTGCCAATGTGTCTGCCCGGAGGTATCTTCCCCAGCGGGTCGTTCGTCCGTCCCGGGTCACGTAGCCGCCCAGGTCACGGACGTTGTACGCGCCTTCGACGTCGAGGACGCGGGTGTGTTCAGTGGGCTTGATCATGTTTGGCTCACTCTCTCATCATATTTCTAATGTCGTTGATTTGGGCGTCGATCAGGCCGATGTGCCGGACGTAGGACTCAATGCCGCCGTACTTGTCGCTGAGGTGTTGCAGAGTTCGTTCCATTGCTAAAGGCGGGGCAAGAAATTCCGGCGGTTCTTCGAGGGAGAAGTCTTTTCCGGCTAGGGATTCGGGGATCCCCTCGGCCAAGTACCGGCGTCTCAGGCCATGGGCGCTGAGCGCGTAGTCCTTTGCGATGGTGTCGGCCGGCACACCGGCGAGACCGAGCAGAAGGGCCGAGATAATTCCCGTCCGGTCGGTGCCGGCGGCGCAGTGGTAGATGGCGGTATGTCCTTTGGACTCGGCAAGCGTGACAAGAGTCTCGGATATGACGTCCTGCCTTTGATCGAGAAGCACGCGGTATATGTTTGATGTCAATTCGGGAGTCGTCCATTCATCCGGAGGCGGGGCGATGTAGCCTGGGGGGTTGGTATCTCCGATCATGTTCAGGTGGAAGTACCGGATGTCATCCATGTCTGCGAGAGCGTTTGGGGTGTCAACGGTCTCATTGGTGCGGCGGAGGTCGATGACGGTGCGGACCCCGTACTCGATCAGGGCACTCTTGGTCGATTCGGACAGGTTGTGGAGACTATCGGCACGGAGGAAGGCACGCCAACGCGTGGTCTTGCCGTCGGTCGTCAGGTATCCGCCGAGATCGCGGACGTTGTAGGCGCCGGGAACGTCTAGCCAACGAGAGTCGCTCATGAGTCGGTCCCCTTGCCAACGGTCTCCAGCTTCTCGCGGCTGCCGTAGAACGCCATGACCTGAAGAACATCGCAGCCGGCATTCTTCATCTCCATGTGAAGCTCGCGCACGGCGCCGGGGTGCGTCATCGAAATCTCCGGCGTGAACGCGCCGGTGACGACCCATCCGCGCTGCTCCAACTCGATGATGTACCCTCCGTCGCCGAGGACGACGCCTTCCGCCAAGCTCTCCAAGATGCCTTTGTTTGCCACTAGCCGCCTCTCATGTTGTGTTTTGAACTCGATATGGATGACAGGGAGTTATCGCTTCAATCGCTCGGACTTCGGGTCCCACAGGGGTTCTTTGGACACCGTGGCGCGATAACGCTCACCGAAGTATTCGATCTCGACGGCAGTGCCGGGTTTCGAGTGCTCTATGGGCAGGTACCCGTGGGCGATGCCCCGGTCTATGGAGTAGCCGTAGTTCGCGCTGGTCACGTAGCCGACGACGGGTGTCGTCCACAAGAATCGGCTCCTTGCCCATCACGACGGTATCAGGTAGATCGAGGGTCATGCAACAGAGCTTGCGAGTGAGACCATTCTTCCGCGCCAGTGCCAGCGCGTCGCGACCTATGAAGTCTCCCTTGCGCATCCGCACGGCGAAGCCGATGCCGGCCTCGAAGGGGTTGTATTCAGTGTGAAGCTCGTTGCCCCAGAGGCGGTAGCCCTTTTCGAGACGCAGCGAATCGAACGCGCCTAGCCCGGCGGCGACCACGCCCTTGTGACGGCCCGCTTCCCAGAGAGCATCCCACAACTTTCGGCCGAACTCAAAGGGGGCGTATACCTCCCAGCCCAGCTCGCCGACGTAGGAGATGCGCAGGGCGAGGGCGGGAATCTCGCCGATGGAGATATGCCGCGCCGTCAGGTACGGGAACCCTGTGCTCGACACGTCGTCGTCGGTGGCGACGCGCATAAGCTCGCGCGCCATGGGGCCCCACACGCCGATGCTGCACCACTTCGTGCTCTCGTCGGTGATGGTCACCGAGCCGTCGTCGGGAAGGTGGCCGCGTATCCATGCCTTGTCGTGCTCAGCAGTGCCGCCGCCGGTGACGACCATGAAGCGATCCATCGCCAGCGCGTCACGGTGAGGTCGCACTTGATGCCGCCAGTCGGCGTCAGCATCGAGGTGTAGGTGATCGCGCCGACCGGCTTGTCCATGCGGTTGGCGGCGATTCGCTCCATGAAGGCCAAAGCGCCCGGCCCGCTCACGTCGAGCTTGGTGAAGGGCGTGAGGTCGAAGAGGCCGACACGCTCGCGGACGGCCCTGTGCTCCGCGCCGATGATGGGAGACCAGAAACGGCTCTCCCATCCGGTACGGGCGTGATCGTGGTCGGTGGAGCCTTCAAGAAGCTCCGCATTCTGCCTCGAACCACTGTGGGCGCTCCCATCCGGCGTTCTCGACCAAGTAGGCCCCAAGCTCTTCGAGCCGGTCGTGGTAAGGCAGGGTGCGAAGTCCGCGCGGGTCGTCCATCTGCTGGGCGGGGTGAATGATGTCGTAGACCTCGCGGTACTGCTGGGCACCGCGCTTGGTGATGTACGAGTGGGTAAGCTGGTGGGGATGGAACCGGCTGATGTCGGCCTCTCGCAGGTCCATTGTCGGCTGGCCGTTCACCATCCACTCGGCGACGGCCTTGCCGACACCGCCGCCATGGGTTATCCAGACGCCTTCCGCCGACCAGAACCCCTTGACCTGGGGCGACTCGCCGAGTACGGGCATCCCGTCCGGCGTGAAGACGAACATGCCGTTGACCTTCTGCACCAATTCGGCGTCCTGAAGAGCGGGCATGAACTCGCCCGCCGATATCATCCCCTTGCGAAACGCTGACTCCGACCACGGCATCATCGAAGGCATCTCGGGGGCGTCAGCGTTACTCCAGATATCCTCCGGCTCCAGGAGCAGCGGCTCGTGATCGTATGAGCCGATGACGTAGGCGTCGTACTCCTGCCGGAAGTACATGGCGCGGTCTTGATTCGGATTACCGGTTCGCGGTACCGCATGGTCTCGCCCGCCAGTTCGGGCAGGGGCGCGGTAAGGGCGTACTGGTGTCGCATCGGCGGGAGCGGGAGAGTCACGCCTGCCATTTGTCCGATGAGCCGACCCCATATACCGGCGGCGCACACCACGAGACCGGTATTGATAGTCCCACCGGACGTTCGGACTGCGGTCACCCTGCCGTCTACAACGTCGATGCCCGTGACGGTCGTGTCGCGTAGAAGGTGGCGCTTCCGGTCTCCTGAGCGCGGCGGCCCATTTCGGCGGCCAGGTTCCATGCGCGGCGTTGCCGTCGCCGGGAGTGTACATCGCGCCGTAGATTTTCTCGGAGAGAAGGGGGACCTTTTCGCGGGTCTCGCCGGGGCCGAGCAGGTAGGTCTCGACGCCCCACGCTCTCCCCGCGCCGACTTGCGCTTCAGGTCCTCGAAGCGTTCCGGCGTCCACGCTACCTCAAGTCCACTACTCCGTACCACAGCGGCTCGCCCTCGGCCGGATTGAGGCTCTCAAATAGCTCAACGGTCTCCCTGGCAAAGACGGACATCATCTTGGAGAAGTTGACCTGAAACACGAGACCGGGGGCGTGAGAGGTGGAGCCGCCCGTCTCGAACATGGGCCCTTTGTCCACCACTACGATGTCGCTCCATCCCAGCTTCGCCAGATGGTACGCGACGCTCGCGCCGTGCGATGCCGGCCCCTATTATTACAACTCGCGCACGGTCTTGCATGCTGTGTGCTCTAGGTCTCCGTAACGTTTGAATACGATTCCGTCCAGCAGGAATCGATATCTGATTGTATGACATATTTCGGGGTCTGGGGAATGTCTCGCACAAGCTCACGGAGAAACCGGGGAAAGAGCTCTGCCTCTTCCAGCTCGTTCAGATGCAGCCATTGGTAGACGAGATTGGGTTCCTCCGCCTCGAACTTTCCCTCGCGACCGAGGATATGGTGCCCCGGGGAACTCCATCATGAAATACATGCCAACCTCTTGGTAGCGTACGCCGTCTAACTCAAACAGGTTGTCGGCTACGATGACGAGCCGTCCGATCTGCACGTCTCCGCCGAACTCTTCCTGCAGTTCCCTCGACAATGCCTGGACGGCGTTCTCGCCGTACTCCACACGTCCCGCCGGGCACGAAGCTGAAGCCGTGCCGGAGGTCTGTGTTCGACAAGGAGGCGTCCTTCATGAAGGGCGATGCCGCCGACGCGGTACATGAAGGTGATCTCCCCGTTCGAGAACATCACCATTTCGTTGGTCACGACAGCGCCTCCATCAGCTCCTCAAGCGGCACGTCGGCCAGCGACTCGATACGCATGTCGGCGTGGTCGTACGAGCGGTCACGGGTCATGGCGCCGGGGACGGCTACGCAGAGCAGGCCAGCGTTCTTAGCTCCTTGAACGCCGGTTGGGGAGTCCTCCAGGGCGAACCCTTCGTCTGCCACCACACCAAGGTCGTCAAGGGCCTTGAGGTAGGATGCGGGATTGGGCTTGGATCTCCCAACGTCTTCGCTGCACACAACGGTGTCGAATGCGTCGGACAGGCCAATCTGTTCCAACTTAGGGTCTACCCACGGTGAGTCGAACTCGATGCGATGCCGATCCGCATTCCTCGTTCCCGCGCGGTGGCGATGTAGTCCTCGACGCCGGGAAGCGGGACGGCATGTTTGAACAGCTCGGCGAAGGCCGACCTGCGCCGATCACGCAGCTCGTCGCGGTCCACCCGCATGCCGGTAAGCTCGGCAAGGTGAGCGTAGATGTCGAAGCCGTCATGGCCTCCCCCGATGTGCGGCGTCCAAACCGAAAGCGGCAGATCGACGCCGTACGAGCGGAAGATGCCAAGCCATGCCTCGTACTCGGGGACTTCCGTGTCGACGATCAGGCCGTCGAAGTCGAACACGATCGCGTTGAACGCTCGGGGCATCTGAGATCACAGCCGACGCCCGAGGGATATGCGGTCGAACTCCGTGTTTGCGGCGTGTCCGGGGTAGTCGACGAGTACCTCGACACTCTGGAGGACGACGCTTGCCACGAGGTTCGATGGTCGAGAGAGGACGGCAACGCCGATGTCGTTGCTGCCGCATCGGAGCAGCTCCGGATCGACGAGGAACTCAGCCCACGCGAAGATGTCCCCTCCCCCGCCGTGGCGGGTTATCTTGCACGTGGCCCAATCGAGTGCGACGCCGTTCAGGGTGACGGACATCACGTCGGCCTCGACGGAGCCGGTCAGCTTGAGGCGTCAGGCGCGAACACTCACGAGCGTGGTCGTCGGCCAGATATACGTGCACGACCTGTTCCGACGCGTCGACGCCGGTTTCGAGGGTGAGGGGCAACTGAGATTCGTAGCCTTCGTAGTCGCCGTCCACGTCGCGACGGTCGTCCAATAGTGCTTCGGCTTCTCGCGGAGGAGGTCGGGGTCGTGGATCTCGGAGAGAATCTGCTTCTCATCCGGGCCGACGGGCCAATCGAACCAGGGTAGGTAGATGCCGTCAGCGCCCTTTGCCCAATAGGCGGCAGCGCCCGCGCGGAAGTGCTCAGGCGTTGCGGAGTGCTCGTAGATGCGACGGTCGACCTGGTGAATGCCGCTTGTATGGACCGAGAAGACCTTGTCCTGGAGGGCGGGGTAGACCTCGCACGAGGTTCCCGCGGTGAGATCGACGAGCCATTCGAAGGGGAGAGTTCACGTCCATCTGTATCGGGCCGTAGACGGCGGGCACAAGGAAGTCGACGAGGCCGTCCGCGATCCAGTCGGCGATGTCGAGGCCTGTTTCGGCGTTTGCTTGCGGCGTGGGCAGGACCCTTGCACCCAGAACGACGGGCTTGCCTCGGTCGGCGGCGGCCTTGTTCGCGGCCCGGCGGGCATCGGCCATGAACTCGGTCACGAGGTGTTTGTTTTCTTGGACTTGCCCTGCTCGAACAGGTAGGGATAGAAGACGAAATCGATCTCCATGCCGTCGAGGTCGTAATCGGTGACCGCCTCTTCGATGAGGGAGAGTCGCTCGGCCCGCACCTCCGGGTAGACCCAGTTGAAGAGGTATCCCCGGGCGGTCTCGAGAGTGTAATTCGGGGTGCTCGATCTTGAAAGTGGAGTTGTCGGCGGTGTCTATGTGGGCGGGGTTCTGGCCGTGGTTGGTGCGAATGCTCCCCACATTTGCAGGCCCTTCTCGTGGGCACGGTCGGTGAGAAGCTCCAAATATCAAGGCCCCGGTCGCGGAGGCTCTTGATGTTCGAGTATGCCCGCCAGAATGGGAGGGAGTTCCAAATGTCCGGTTCGCTGAAGGTGGTAAATGCCCGCCTTGATGAGGTGCTCGGCCCACGTCTCACCGACCTTGGTGTTGTGGTACATGGTAAGCCCGGCCCCGAAGCCGTAGACGAACGTGTCGACGCCCGTTCCCGCCACGTCGTCTATGGGCGCGACGGCGTCTTCCACCCGGATCGGAGGGTCGTAGGCGTAGATGTGGGTATGCCGGGCGTCGCTGTAGAAGATCAGACGTTGCTTGCCCATGTCGTTGTTCCGAGTCTCCTCAGGCATCATGGCATCCCAAACGACGCCCGCGGCGTGGGATGTTCTATCACAAGCTCGGCGCTCTCCCAGACGATGGGAGCGCCGAGTCCGGCGGGGCGAGCGTCGAGTGATAGGGTAATCTCGTTCCAGCCGTGCACGAGTACGTCGGGCGGAAGGCCTATCTCAAGAGAGGCTGCGAGATAGGCGTCCAACTCGGTGCGTTTGGCGGAGTCCAGTGGGAGCAGGCTGCCGTTGACGCGCACGGTCAGCTTGTCGAGTGTTGTTGACCAGATGAGGCAGGAGCCTGAGGGTCGCGGAGGCTTGCCGAGGTTCGTCGGCGAGGTAGAGCCGGACGGACTGAGGGCCAGCACCTTCCTCCAGCGTAGCCTTGAGTTGGGACTCGTAGCCGAACCGTGCCGACTCGTCGTCGTGTCGTCGGACGACGTAGCTCTTCGGCTTTCGTCTCAGCAGGTCGGGGTCGTGGGCCTCGGTGAAAGATCGTTCGCTGCTCGGGGCCGTGCGGCCACTTGAGGAAGAGCATGTAGATGCCGTCGGCACCGCGATCCCAGAACGACGCCGCTCCCGCGCGGAGATGCTCGATGCTTGCGTGCAGCTCGAGGGAATTCGGGTCCATGCGGTTGTCGGCAATGTCGAGCCCTCGGACGGCGCGCTGGAGTGTCGGGTAGACCTGACAGCCCGTCCCGTCGGCGAGGTCGACGAGCCACTCGAAGGGGAAGTTGGCATCGACCTGGTGGTCCTGGTAGATCGTGGGCACAACGAAGTCGAGCAGGCCGTCTGGACCCAGGCGGCAACGTCGAGTCCCTGGGCGAGGTTGCCCGGCCTGCGTCGGCAAGCACCTTTGCACCGATTTCGATTGGGCGGCCTCGTGACGATGCCGTCTCGTCCGCAAGCCGTCGTACGTCTCGCAGGTACTCGGTCATGATGTGCGCGTTTTGCTCGCCCTCGTCGTCCTCGAAGTAGTACGGGCAGAAGGTGAACTCAAGCTCCAAGCCGTCGATGTCGTACTGGGTCAGGTACTCCTCAATGTAGGCGAACTCTCGGCGCGCACCTCGGGGTACACCCAGTTGAAGGAATGTTCCCGCTGCCGGTGAGACACCACTCCGGGTGGTCCATGCGGAACTGCCAGTTGAAGGGGTTTTCAACGTCGGCGGGATCCATCGGGTGATTGAGACGCAGGCTGGCGAAGAAGTCCATGCCCTTGTCGTGCGCGCGGTCGATGAGGATGTTGAGGGGGTCGTGGCCGGCGTCGATGAGGCTCTTGACGTTCTCGTATGCCCGCCATGACCACGCGCTGTCGAACTTCTCGAAGCGCCGCCCCCAGACCTCGCCGACCTTGGAGTCGTGCATGACCGCAGGGCCCGCGCCGGACCCGTAGACGAAGGTATCGACGGCGGTGCCCGCAACCTCGTCGACAGGCGACCACGCCTCTTCCAGCGTCATGGGAGGATCGTACGAGTACATGTACGTGTGGCGCGAGTCGTTGTAGTAGAGCAGACGCCGTTTCTTGGAATCCCGACTCACCGGATTGACTCCATTTCCCAGATGTCGATTGATCTGAACGCGGCGGCTCCGCCTCTGGCAAAGAGCTCGATGCCGAGATCGTTTGCGCCGCAATCGATGAAGTTGGACGCTACGCGGGTACCGTCGTCGACGAAGACCTCGATCACGGACTTGTCGAGGAAGACGCGGAGCTTGATACTGTCCTGTCCCTCCGCCCTGTCGTAGGGCATATCGATGCCGCCGACGAACACCGACTCGCCGTCGTAGCCGATGACGACGCCGTCCTGCCCGTCGTCCGAGCGGCGGACGCGGAGGCCGGAGAAGGTCGCTCCGGCGGGTTCGATACAGACGTTAAACTCGAGGGCGTCGCCACGAACGTCGAGTACCATTGAGCCCCCATCGAGCGTCGTGTCGGGAGGAGAGTGCCGCTCGCCGTGAAGTATCTCGATCTCCTCCGCAGGGGTCTGACGTGGGTGACCGTCCGGCCCGATGGTGAGGACGCGCGGGAGGGCCATGCAGCCGTTCCAAGCCATGCCGGGGAAAGTGCGCAACAGGCGGCCGAGCAGCAGGCAACGCCCATCGGCATCGAAGAGGATGTTGGTGCCGTAGAACGTTTTGGTCGGCTCGATTCGTCCGTTGACGCGGTGGGTGAACCGGTATGTGTCAATGTCGAAATCACCGATGTAGTAGTCGACCGGTGTGTAGGGCGAGGTGAGCATCACCCAGTCGTCACCGAGCTTGAAGAGGTTCGGGCATTCCTGGCTGATGTCGGAGGCTAGGCCGCGATAGGTCCAGTTGACGAGATCGCCGGACTCGGACTCCCATATCGGAGTGCCGACACCCGTCGCGCCCAGAACCATGAAGCTCCTGTCCCGCTCGAAGAAGAAAAAGGGGTCGCGCCACCTCCAGTCGAACTCGGGACGACCGTCCCTTTCGAGCGTGAGCGACGGATTGTCGGGGTGCTTCGTCCAGTTTATGAGATCGTCGTCGCCGACAGCGGCCCACTGCTCGAACGGCTCCAACGCATTCCTGCCCTGTCCCCACTTCTTGGTGCTGGTGTACAAGATAATAGGCTGGCCGTCTTTGTTGAACCCGGCGGTGCCGGAATAGCAGCTTGTCTCTCCTGCCTCCGTGGAGGGCCAAATCGCGATAGGCAAGTCCTCCCAGTGGACGAAGTCTGTGCTGCGTGCGTGGCCCCAATGGGTACCATATCGGGCGTCCGTGTGGAAAGGATTGAGCTGGTAGAAGATGTGGTAGCCCCGATGCAGGAGGGGGCCGTTCACGTCGTTCATCCATCCCGACGGCGGGCCGAAGTGGTAGACGGGCCGCGTGGGATCGGCGGCAGCCTCCGCGGCGCGGGCCAACATGGCGACCATGCCCGGTTGTATCGCGGGGTTCTTGTACTCCATCCCTCGTTCCGTTTCTTGGCGTCGTGGACTCGCGCGCAGATACATTACCACACGAGGGGCTGAATCGGGGCGCACGCGGCATGTGCGCGAGGTAGACCGAGACAAACAAACGCGATAGGCTAAGCGTGATCGAAATCCTGCCGGTGCGAAAGGAAAAGGAATGAGCGAGAGCCACGAGGTCATGTTCTACACCGACGGACGCCACACGAGCGTCTACCTCTACGAACCGCCGATGGGCGTGCGCCAGTACATCGAGGCGATAGACGAGCTGGTCGACCTTGGGATCGACACGATCAGCTACGCGGTCGGCGACTGCAGCGTGCTGCTGTACGACACCAAAGTCGGAGAGCGATGGGGCCACAACGTCGATCTGACCGATCACCAGATTGGTACCGCGCGGGGATGAACGCCGAGGCGATGATCGAGACGGGAACCGACCCGCTCATGCTGGTCTGCGAGCACGCCAAGAAGCGCGGATTCCAGTTCTGGCACACATCCTCCTCAACATGAACCACACGTCGCATGGGCGGGTGACGAACTGCCGGGTCGCCGATTCACGACCGAGCATCCCGAATGGCAGGTCGGCCCAGAACCGGACTTCCCGGAGGCGGATTCGACAGCCCGTCCCGGCTCTCCTACTCCTACCCGGAGGTGAGGGGGACCGGCTCGCAGTGATCCGCGAGCTGGTGTCCGATTATCCGAGCGACGGCGTCGAAATGAATCT